TATGAAAACTCGTCCCAGTTTTTCAGTGCACACAAAGTTCCGGGGTTATATGGCATACCGCCTGGCGGCGCTCCGCGTAACATGACTGGTACGCATACCACAGTTTGAGAACTACTGAATTATACAATTCCCTCACGACTTTTCAAGTTTCCTAATCTCATATTGTGCCATGAAAGTACCGAGAGGTGGCCTCCTTTCGGCAGCCAATGTGGAGCACACCGGAATGCGAAGAAGAGCCCCACACGTAAGGAAATGAACAACATCAAGAACAAGCACGTAAAAATCTTGTAAAATGTAACACAGACATTGTTTTCCACAAATAAACATCTTTAAATATATAATTATTCTTTATAAATATAGAACAAATTAACAAAAATAAAATAGTTAAAAATATCAAACACCTTTAAAAGAAATATTGTAAACAAAGTATTGCGCTATAGCTTGTAATATACAGTAATGGGCACATTATCTCACAAGTACACATCTGGCTCACTGCCCACCCCTACGACTTGCGATTCACTACAAGAAAATCAAACCAGTTTGATTTTATCGTAGTGAGTTGCAGAGAGTCATAGCGGCTATTAAGAACGCTATGGCTGAGTTGCTGGGGGTGTCACACTATACAACTTACAGTAAAGGGCCCGCACTGTGACTCTAAAACTCACAGTGATTTTCTTATGATTATGTAAATGAAGGCTACGACTGAAAATCCTAGGAAAAGTCGTGTAGTGTGATGCCGGCATTAGTAAATGCAAGTCCGCTTTAGTAAGTAAGATTTTTGCTGTGCATTTTTGCAGATGTGGCTTAAATACCCCCAAATAAACACTGGTCACTGTCAAAGAGTCGTCTTGTTTTTGTAACACACCTAACTCAATTTCACCTCAGATTCTCCAATTTAATATTAAAATATATTAAATTTGGATATTTCTTGTATTAAGAGGTACTCAGTTCTTAACAGAGGTAAATGACTGATAAAATATACAGTACAGTTATATAAAAATAATATAGGTTAGTAATTTCTTTATTTGTTACAAGGAGAAAGAAGATGTGCACCATGACAGCAGTAGTCAAATATTAAACTGAGTGTTGATTTGCAGTTTTAGTCAGTGTACTGAGTTCAGTGCAATTTTAATTGAGGAAAATTGCTGGATACTGGCATGTGAGAAGACAGGTGTAAGTCATTTAAATATGTGTCCTTGACTTTTCCTCATTCACTGCAGAGCCTTTTAAAATACTTTCCTTGCAGTTGGAATGCAAACCATTCAAACATCCTTGAATTCGCTATCCATTTTGTGTGTATTTTTAACCAGATACTTTGAAGAGTCTGAATGCTTATATTGCTATTTTCACTGATGCAACCCCCAGCTGAACCTAATTTACCCCAAAGGGATAATTACATTATGTTGTGTTTTCCATGTTTTAATTAACTTTATATGAATTCCCCATGACTTGAATTCTACATGGAACCTGTTTTTTTTTCTCAGCTTATAAGAGATGCACATCTTTTTCAATACCATTAATTCACTCATTGTAAAGCATATAATATTTGATACCTTTCCAGTCACCAGAGAAACCTGAACGATAGTGTATGGATTTTTAACTTTCTTTGTAGATAATGCTACAGTAGAGAAGAGTGCAGTAGAGTCTATAGTTTAGAATTGTAGCTTGTCAAAAAAAAATATTTTAAAGAAATCAAAATAAAAGTGTTAAACAAGCTTTCCTTACTTAAATATTGAAATGATCACAGCAGCATACTGTACCATTATATGTTGTCAGAACGATACAGAGACAGGATTTATGGGCTAAAAATGCTAGGCAGTGCTGAAGACAGGGTAGCAAAAGAACTCTGTTACATACGTGCAAAGCCTGAGGCTTACACTATCACAGCACTGCACAAAGGCTCCTAGGTAAAAAATCTACCCAATTCAAGAAAGCAACCACAAAACAGCTTTGCCGCACACACAAAGTCTACCAGTTTGTAAACCTCACAATTCAATTTTGAATTGAGCTTTGGCAAACATAATTACAAATTTATCACTGCCAATCGTTTTATGATTTCTGTACATAAAAGTAACTAATATAAAGTACAGGGTTTACAAAAGTCATCCTCTCCTAATCCACAGATGTCACATAATATTTCTCCACTGCACATTGGACTACTGAAGAAGGCTGATTGTTGCTTACCCCTGAGACGCCACAACAGCTTCAGGTTCAAACAATTACATGGAGTAAAGATACATAAATCCTTTCAATAACTGACTTCATGGGTTTACATTAGCATATTTGTGAGTCTAATTATGCTTGAATCTCCTTTGTGATTGTCCCTGAAGATTATCCTCCTGATATTAATGAGTTCATTTAATTCTAACTTTTTGTAGGTGAGAGTGGGTATGTTTTACAAGTGAGTGTTTGATTACATTTTTAATGTGGGTGTAAAACAATAAACTGAAACATTCACTGGCAGGTTTCAGTTTTGTTAAATAATCAAATGATTAATATTTTTCCTTTTTTCCTTCTGCAGAAAAGGATAAGATATGTACATTTGTACGTTTTCAAAATAAACCTACAGATTTACGAGACCATTAACACAGAAATGTTGTTGACACATATTGGCACAAGATGCTCAATACAGTTATTAAAATGTGTGCTTGAAGCAGATAACAACTAGGTACAAACATTATTTGGCACAGATCCTATGAAATATTTTTTTCTTCTCCAAAATGTCCCACAACTTTGGCAAAGAGTTTTGGCAGAATTATGTATGTTTGTTGTTGCCTTGTATGCCAGTAGTGATTAGCATGTTGCGATTAGTGGGCTAAATGGAACAGTAATTTACTAATTGAATCTTATATTCCAACTAAAACAAGTTCAAGGCTGAAGTTTATTTGGGCTGATTCTAATGTTGAAACAAGTTCTTCCTTCTGTTATGTTTATTGATTATTTAATATTTATGTTCTCTTGGACACTGTCAACAAAAAGTGAATTCTTGTTCCTATTGATGATTTCCAATTTTGAGAATTAGCTATTTTGAAGGCAAGTCCAGAAGATGTATCAAGGTCTCCATTTAATCTTTCATTTGGTTTAAATATGAGGTTGGTGTTATGGAACACCTTAGAACCTGACAACAAAATCTACACCTTTTCTTTTTTCTTTATATCTTTTATAATGCATTACTAATGGTCTGCTTTTTCTGCCATTTAAAAGCTGTTGTTTTGTGCCCCATGAGTCAGTTTCTGTTTTCTGACCGTTTTCAGTTCTTTGATTTATGTCTTTCCCCTTTAATTCAGTTTTCATTGCAACTCATTTTGCTTTGTTAACAAATCTTGCAAATTCTGATTTTTCTTCTGTACCCATCAACAGAAAATAAATATTTGGATGAATTTGTGTGTAATTTGTCTCTCGTGAGAGATTTGTTGAGAGAATTTTTGGTTATACTGTACATACTGTATACAGTTCAATATTTTTAGATTAAAATAACAACTATTGTGATTGTAAGTCAAGAACTCAAGATAAATGTAACAAAAGCAAACAGTAGTATGTTTTCAGTCTAACACAACAGATTGAAAACTATGCATTATAATGTTTTAATAAAATATCAGGTTTTCAAATTTACCATTTAATCAAAATATTTGATTATAAGTACTGAATATATATACTGAGAACCAAAAGAAACTTAAAACTTCTATCAGCAATAAAATGGCAAACATTTTTTTAGCAGGTGTGCTACCATTTGATTGAATGGGCATGATATGATATGCAAATTGATTATATTGATTAACCTTTGTCTTCAGGAGAGGGTCTGCTGTGAACATCACTGGCAAAGCATGCATGGCCACCACAGGAAGCAATACAAGCTGTACATTCCTCTCCTAGAGACTGGACAAGCATGTGCCTGTCCGCTGGTCTCAGAGTCACACATTGTCCCAGCTAATCCCACAATTTTCAATGGGCCTCAAATCATGGGAGCAGGTCATCCACAGCAAAACTGTTACATTTACATTTCATTAGAAAGTCACTATTGCATATGCAGCACGAGAATGTGTGGTGTCTTGCTGTTGTCACATCAGGTAGAGCCCACAGATTGTATTTGTAGTATATGAGGTCCCTGTACTTGATCAGCGTAATGCTGTGTTGTCAGGTTGTCATAATTTACTGCGTGCTGATCTTTGTAGCAACTAAGCACTTCTGACCACACCATCATTTTTAGACTTCTCACTAACTGGTTTGTTACACATAACAATGGTGTGCAATTCTACACATCTGTACCACATTTTCCAACATGAGTGTGGTAGTTCACACATTCATGAGTCCATGGGTGTGGTAGTGCACACTTATTCTTCATTCATCACTTAAGAGCACTTAGCTCCATTGCTGGTGTGGTGGCAGTCCAACAGATGATTTCTTTCTTGAGTCTATCCAGCCTTGACATTCCACAGGTTAAATCACCTCATCACCTCTGCCCAATCAATTCTCTCACTAATAAGGTGACTTAATGCTTTGGAATCACTTGAGTATATCACAGCTAGTCATGAAAAATCAATTATTCAAAATGATGCCAAAAACATTCACTCAATATCCAAAATCCATATACTTTACTTAAAAGAAAAACAAGCATATGTATTGTGATAATTTTTTTTTCATGCTCCGTATATCAAGTTGATTGAGGGTCAATGTGACCTTAGCTAATATTATCGATTACATCCATTGTGTTATATAAAAAAATATATTGAAACCAATTTTACTGCCAAAAGCACAATATCATTAAATATTTTCCAAGGGTTAAATCGCATTTGGCACCTTTCTCATGTCAGTTCACAAAGCTCCCTTGCATGTGTTGTTTTTTATTCCGTCTCTCCCACATAATGAAGACAAGGGACCTCACATGAAACCATTAGGAAAATTAATGTGCAGTAACTTTAGCCACCAAGCACAAAGAATGCACACAGGGAAAGATAAATAAAAGCTGTGACACCAATTAAAATGATGACCATATCTGTGAATATATTTTTAGACTTTTTTATTTATAGTTGCTCAGACACGTGTATATACAAATACAGACCTTTAGAGTTTTTTTTTCCTTTATTTATATACTGTAAAGCAGGTCAAAACTGCACTCATATTTAAGTGCAAAAGAAACTGCAAAAGCAGGAGCAGTACAAGCACAGGACCACAATGAGCCAGACTTTCATATCCAGATGCACATACAATGAGTGACTTCAATAAGGGTGTCAAGTGTAAGCGTGGAAAGCAGAATCGTAGACTCATGGGGAACCTCCAACATGCCAGCATCTATTAAACTGTACAGACAATGGCAGCAAGTCTATTGTAGGGAGATTTGTTTCGCATCAGAGCAGCTTGAGGGCTAAGGCATGGGAAAATTTCAGTGCTGCCAAAGAGAGTCGTTGCACCCATTCACTGCTCAAGGAAAATAAAAACACACAAGAGGGTCTGAATGAAAACAGTGGACAACCAAAGCTACGTGGTAAGAATAAAAGGACCAGTGGGTTCATTTCCGAGCTTCAGAAAACTGATTGATACTTTTCTGCTAAACAGAGACAGGTTATGTACATTTCTTTAGTAGCGGAATAACGTACAGTACAGCCTTCCTTGCTTCCTTAAGATGCCTACATATAAGAGGGGGAGGGAGTGTCCACATTCAACAAAGTGTACAAAAAACTATACCGACAAACTTATATTTGTTTCTTAATCAAGTCCATGCGCATGCCACACGTGATACTGGCAAGATCCTTCGAGAGAAACTGTCCGTGGAGAAAGGGTGAGAAAAATCTGTCAGCTCGTAGACCAACAACGCGGAAATCGGAAGGCTCCGACATTAGACCCATAAACATACAGGACAAAACACTGATCGTCAAAAGTCAGCTTCAGTTCTTCAAAATTCCTTGATTAGACAATGGAAAAAGCACTTTCCAGGTGAGCCCATTTGCATCCATTTGTTCATAGTGCATTTCAGTTCACAGATGGCTACAGGACCGATGTCTCAAAACTTGTTTAGCATCAAAGATCACAAAGCAGTTTTTATGCTCCATATTATCCAGAGGTTCTACCATGTTCATTTTATAAAAGACATAAGAATCAAATTAATACTTTAATATCAAACACTATTTACAACAAGAGTTTTGCTAATAATACAGAATTTTAACAATGAACCGTCTCATTTTTTTCCTTTTGTCCTTCAGAAAGGTACAAAAAACAATATACTAATAATCTAACACTACATGTTATATTATTGACTACATCAGGATACACAGTATCCATTTAACATACTGATCCTTATTTCCCTGTTTTACACATGTGATTTAAAAAAAAAGACTTGCAGAAGTGTTGTGCTACTCAGATAACAGGCTATCACCACAGAGTTTGAAAACGCATAATGTCAATGACACATTATTAAGGTCCTTGTATAAAGAGTAAAGTTCTTTGCAATCAGGGCTTCCCATCACCCATTTGAAGTGCTGCTATATTTTTGGAATAGCATTTGTTGATATTCAAGAAAAAGAACCAGGAAAAAGACAACAAGCACAACACCTCTGGTAAGCCGTGAAAAGGACTGGAAAAATGGGGGGAGTGAAACTTTACTGAAGAGAGGCAAGTGTCAGATGGCAGGGAACTTAAGCGCATCTTAAATATGTACCCCTTCTAAAGCGCCCGAGAGGTCCATAATGTTACATCACAACATGTTAATTTTTTAGTCCCTGAAGTTCCCCTACGCTATCCCACTATAGCTTTAGACTTTGGAGAGTGAAACTTATACCTTCCCCCTGTGGAGTTCCAGAAATAGTTCTACCACCACAACACAGGACTGCATGTCCAGCATTTTGGAGCTGAATGAAGAGTTACTTTAGCCTGTAACTGCAATATGTGTTGCAGGCTACACTGCACAGTGATCCCAAGTCTTTTCTTAAATGAAAACGGTATGCACCAATATCAGGAATTCATGTATATGTCTTTTTGTAAGTGAGAAAATAAACATTTCAGCCTTATTAGCTCAGCTTTTACTTTACTGTTTGCTTCTAAATACTTCATATTCAGGTTCCTGATGAATGTCACCATGTATGCTCATCAACTTTATATCATGTAACTGCATAGTACACACACATACATTAAAACAAGAATATAATTATACGAATATATAGAAATTTTCTTGGATTTGACAAAATATAGTTTAGATACAAACTGTTGTGTCCTTCTTTTAAAAAAAAGTAAATTCAAAATGGTTATTATCATGTAAAGGGATTGTTTTTGTTTAGGTTAATTTTTGCTAAAGCACTGACATAACCCTGAAATTACTTCTAAACATACTGTATACATGAGTATAAATGAATAAAACTGAACCTTCTATGATTTTGTTTTAATAAAAATGTAACTGATGTTTTTGAAGGCAAGGTTCAGAAACAAAGCAAAAACGTTATCTACTTAACATGATCCTTGAAAATATTTTTATAGTAAACGTCCTTACTGAAGCAAAGGGAGGAGACAAACAATGCAAAGCGTTACTGTTGTATTTGATAAATTTATCCTATTATGACTGCATGTATCTTGAAAAAAATCATTTAACACAAAAGAGGGATATGTGAGAAGGTTTTAGCTGAATGTTTTCTTTAAGCGGAAGATTAAATCATTAAAAGCCACTATACAGAACTGCTTACTTATGTTCCATAAAAAATAAATTCTTAATGCTGTCGTTCGTTCTCCTCAGTTAAATCCAAGCAGCAATGGGAAAAAAAAAGGAATATGAACAATTTTCAGGTTTGTTTTCAGCTGCAATGTCAGAAAGTAGATTCTAGTATATAAGGTATGTCTCCCTTCACTGTTATATTTCTGTAAGCAAACAGAAATAAACAGTTTAAACAATCATGGTACGCTTGGAAAACTATCTTAAAGCTGGCACCTGTCTGCTTCAGTTTGAGCTTACAAAACAGCATTCACAAATATATTTTGAAAACTGACAATGTATAGTTAGATTCACTTCAAAAACATGCTATACTTGACCACAGTATGTATGTATGTAGATGTCTTGCATGATCATGTTTTTTTTTTCCTCTCTCAAGACTTATTTCATTTTCCTTGCCTCACCAAATTAAACTCTCTTGTGTATCACATTCCGGTACCTTTCTTTGATTTTAAAAGTTTCATAAATTCCACTTTTTCATTATACCCTATGCTTCATAAAAAAAGCCCATATTGATAACAAGAAACATATTTATACTCCCCAGCAGAGGACACTTCTCAAAAGCTTTATGCATTTCCTCATCTCCCTGAGGAAACAGTCTTATATCTATTCTTAATATCTCCCCTGCAGCCCCAGCTTGGTGCCACAATGCTTGCCTTTGCATTCTACAATATAGAGTGAGGAAGGTATAAATGTTGCAGAGAAATTAAGGCCCTCTTGGCAGCACACCCATTTCTCCTCCACCCCACTAGCTGTGCCTGCCACTGTTCTTTCTCACCGCTGTCCAGCCACCTGAATGAGTTAATGTGGGATTGAGTCGTATAGTGTGTGGCAAGTGGCAGAGGTCAGGGTGGGGAGAGTGGGTGATACACGGATGGCAGAAGTGTAAGGAGCCTACATATACAGGAAAATAAGAATCACTAAGTGTCAAAACAGGATTTGGCATCTTAGTTTAAAGTTTTGGGGAAACTGGCTCTCTCTCTTGGATATCAACTCTTTATCATGGATTGAAAAAGACCACTTTAATATCTGCAAAAGAGTGTCCCTTGAAAAGGTCCCCTTCATCGATTGGACAATACAGGGGAGATCTCTGCTGTTCCTGGACTCCCTTTGCATCAGAGGGAACTAGGCGCTATAACGACAAGAGTGCCGCTAGAAAAAAAAGTACAGATGCCAAGAGTAGATTTGTTATTCTGGTCTTTTCTGCTGCGTTGCTGTCACTCCGAGATGGTTCCGCCGACTCATGTACGGTGTCATCTGGATGGACAGAGAAAAACAGACATAACGTCACACAAGAGCTGAGGAAACTGTACAAGTCATACCTATAGTAAGCAGTGGTGCTTGTGTGCACACAACGCTACAAGTAAGAATTTAAGAAAGATTTATCATTTAGGCTAATCCAGAGCTGTTTTGTAAAAACACACCACACATGCTTTTATTCTGCAAAGGCTTCAGAAAAAGATACTCGTTATATGCAGCGGAATTTGTGACCCTTGTCTTTTTTAAATGAGGAGTTGAATGGAAAAGCCACTACTAATCGCCAATTCAGTGATATTTTAAGAGATATGAAAAACTTGGAATCACCTGATAGTGAAGTAAGTTCTAATTTGCATTATTAGCAGTAACTGTGAAGCACTTGCAGAATGCATAAACCTCGGTGCCATGCACTTTGGCGGAAGGCTCAGGAAAACAGACAAGTGTGAAAATACAAAGAGACACATAAATATGCTCCAAAGATAAAGCAGCTAGTTCATTCACCAGGGAAGTGCAGGAAGGCATGCAACAGAGAACTGCCAAGCCAAAAGGATCTATTTTAGCAATCTGATGCCTCTTGCCCTTACACTAGTGAATCACAGCACTTAACTGACTTTACCAAGATGCAGAGTTACAAAGTGCACGGAAGCTGAATGACTGCAAGCATGGTTTTTCATTGCCTAAGTGTACCTGTGTCTACCTTTTCAACTCTTTTTTAAGTTTTCAGGACAGTAGACAAGATTAAGTATAGAAAGGTACCCTCTCTCTCTATATATATTTCTATAAGAATAAGAAATAATTTTGTTGTCTTATTGTAAGCACGATGTGTAACAACATCTGCAAGTTTTAAGATGTACTAGTTGGAACCTGATGTACATGAACCTCTTGGAACCTGATGTATACTTTTTTCTTCTTGCTAGCAGATCAAAAACCAAAGAGTAATGCAAACAGTATAATATTTCTTTGCATGCAGAAATTTGGTTGTGTAGCAATAAGGGATTATGGCCTTTCGTTAAAAGCAAGTTTTCAGGATAAAGACTGGGAGATAAAGACTACTACTGTTCATGCTCTAGTAAGAAAGAGGAGTATTTCATACATTTGGCTTAGGTTTTCATGCATTTGATTCCTTATGGGGTAAAAAATGTCCATTTTGCCGTGCAAATGTCAAGTTCTAGGCTTTCACCCGGAAAGAAAATGACACCTATCACTACAACCACCTGACAGCAGGACAAGCTTTCTAACATGCTGTACATGCCAAGAGGGGAAGGAGCAGCCCTGTAGAACTGGATGGAGGGACAGAGGGAAAGATAGACAGTGGGATAGAGGCATTTGTTAAAAAAGATTTTCTAAGCATACTAACCTGCTGGTTCTAATGAATTTTCTACTTTGTCGTTAACATCGAAAACACGATCATGAACGCCTATAGTTTTCATACAGCTGTCTATAACAAAAATAGAGATAACAGCCAAATATGTTAGTCACAGTCGTGATCCCCCCACATTTTGCTCAGTGCTCATTATGACACTGCATGAGATGCATTTTTTACAATGAAACAACAAGTTAGCAACTGCCATACAGTACCATTAATAAAGCTTTCATGAAGAATGACAAGAAGAAATATGAAACCAACTCACAGAATGTTGCATACAGAAAAGATACCACACAAGATTAAACAGTATGTAAGATAAAGCCAAAGTTGTATTTCCATATAGCAAACAGTTCTGTAAAGCATATGCTCTGCAAAAAAAAACCCTGTGAAGAATTAAAATATGTGACTTACTTGTTGGTCGCACAAACACCTTCAGTTTCAGACAGGTTCTTCTTCCATTCTCTGCTATTGTGGATGCTGCAAAATATAAAAAATAAGAAGATTTCACGTTTTGTGCTGTTTTTAATTCAGCGCTTGGCAATGAACTACATGGCCTTAAAAACAGCTATAAAGGGCCCTATGCATATTTTGCACACTTTAATTTCACATCAAACTTTATTCTTCTATATAGCAATGCAATTTCTGTTAAAAATCAATTCCACAGGCTTCATCTTTAAGAGAAAATTTGATATTTTTCCTCTCACTCTCTGTTGGTGTAGCCAACTGTTTGTTCCTTCCTGCCGAGCACAGTGTAGTAGGTCAGACTGATAGCTTGTCTGGGATTTCACCTCAGGCTCTTCAGAAATGCATAACAGGGGCAAATAGATGCTGCTTCTCCACTGGAAAACAACTCAATATTTCAGCAGAGCTGGGTGTTCTCTTATTAAACTGACAAACCAGTTAAGTGCAACCAGTAGCTGGTCTCTGTTGTAAACTCACTCTAAATCACAGTCTGAAAGCCTCCCAGTGTTGACACGCACTGAAACTGGTGTGCTCAGTTGGGGGATATTGCTTATGGTTTGTGGTTACAGTCAGGAAATTGCCTCTTTCCTGTGGACCCTACAGGCAGTGAGTTATGAACGTCTGTAAGCAAAAAGCACACACCATGTCCTATGACTTTCTTAGTGATAGCAACAACTTTTCACAAGTTATGTTCCTCAGCAGTTACACTCAGTGAAGTTTTAAATTAGACAGGCACTAGTTTATGGATTTCAATTAAGCTCTACAGCAAAGAGGTTAAAAATAAACTTGTGGTCTGTTATGAAATAATGTGTTATGGAAAACAGTTTCTAATTTAGATTTGTAAGATTAGACATCTTCTTCACTCTTTACTGCTACTCCCACTAACAAAATTGCTTCAAGACGTGTGCCCTACCACTTAGATCAATAGCGGAGTGTGAAGTCAGAGTCTGAACAAAAAAAAAAATCTTCAATTATGGTACTTCACATTTGGGTGAAAATAATAAATAAGCAAGGGTTTTAATATTTCAGAAACATGAACTGAATATATAGAAGGTGACTACATCCCCAAAAAAACAGCAGAGTGATAAGTTAGAGGACCAGAACGTTGAGTTACACATTATTAAAAACTACTTAAGAATGTTAAACGTAACCTGATGATTAGAATATCAGAAGATACAGTCAAACCTCAATAATATGACAGTGCAAAGAGTCTTCACTGTTATTTTCAGGTTTAACCTGAATGGACAAACCATAACACCCCCTCCCCTACCCCCCAGGTAAAACCCAGAGGATTTTGTATAAGCAGAGGAGTTAGGGTAGTGGATGATAGAGGTAATGACATATCAGAGCGGGGAATGCAGAGAAAAAGCGGCCTAGCACCTGTATTTATATCACAAGATACCGTGATTGATGGGAATTTGAGACTTTCCAGCTCCCAAACTTTCATTAAGAATGTCCGTAAAGACCTTTTTTGGCTTTAACCTGAATTGTTTGATGAATGACTACCTGGACAACCAAGAAATAAAAACCTCAAAAGTAAATATCATGAAAGCAACGAAATACAAAGGACAGAGAAAGATATGAGGATCAACAGATTCTTGTAGTTCCAGTTCTACAATTGCAGTAAAGACAGAACATTTACAGAAATTTGTGACTTAGAAATCTTAAATGTGTAAACCTGGATGATGGTAATGCCAATTAAGGGAGCATTTGGTTCAAATGAAGTCATCAAGAGTCTAGGAAGGAATGAAAACCAGAAGAACAGGAATCTCAGGTGAGGACTGAAGTAGAAATCAATTCAAAGAGATAGAAGATAGCACCTTTCCCAGACTGATCTGTTTTACTCTTTTTAAGATAAAAGAACGTCTTTACTTAGAATGGAGAGATCAGACATGCAGGGATGAGATAAAGGCAGATGATGGAACTGTGGTGAGACAGAAGCCCCAGTTTTGAGGGGCAGAAAGATGGATGTAGCAGAAGTAGCTGGGTAAACACTAAGTTAAAAGCACAGGGAACTAGGTGCCTGTCACACCCAGAGCCGGTTGGACACCTGGCAAAGCAGGGTTTGCAAACTGTGTGTCCATAGCAACAGGGGGCAGGAGTGGGGCAACAGTGGGGGGCATAAAAGAAAGAGGGTTGGAATTGCTCTCCATCAGTATGGACTTCAGCTGGGGGAATGTGGAAGAGAAGAAAGGGGACTTACAACCAGAGCTCTGGGGTATACATCTGTAACAGGGTTCAGAACTGGGACCGAAAGACCAGAATTATCAGGATCCCGGAACAAAGAAACTGGGGCCTAGAGGCTTGAGATGTAGGTTTATTGACCTCAAATATGAAATACTGTAAACAGTGCTTGGGCACCAGGGAGGATATACAATTTGAGTGAGAGAATGGGCAAGATTAGGAAAGGACAAAGAGAGTTCTAGGCAGATGGGATGCACATATTTTTTAAACTGATGAGATGGAGAGCTGGAGAGGAGCTGAAGTGCACCAGTAGAATAGAGAGCCTGAGGTGGTCTTACAGGTAAAGATGGAGATCATATTCCAGGGCTGTTTATCTGGCAGGGTTTCCTGTGTTGCCTTTTGATTACCTAGCAGAGCAAGTATAGAGAAAAACAGAAGAGAAGCAATACCATCCTTTAGCGAGACACAGTCCAGTCCTTCATATTAGGAACAACTGATTTTTAGGCTGATACAACCCAGGTGATTTGGCAAAATAAAGAACTGCTTGAGTTGGAAAGAAAGACTGCTTTGTTTTCTGCACTTGGAGGTGGCCGTTTCATTGAAGGATTAACATGACAGATTTTAGACAGGGATGAAAAGGAGCTGTAGGCTGAAGCATCTGTTCATGAGCTCCAGGACTTGTAAATGTGTTGTTTTTACAAAGGAATTTGTCATCTCCTTCACTGACTAGGAGATCCCCTTGAAAGGATTGGAGTCCAACAGACTGAGTTAGCTCCTTGATTTCATAAAGGTATCAGCTAAGGTGTGAGATTTAGCATTTTTTAAAAAAGTCCAAGAACTGCTAGACTGAGATAATATTTGTTTGAAACTTGCAGCATAGTAAGAATGGGATGCAAAATAACAGGGCCTCCTGAGTGACTCAACTTGTGGAAAAGATAGACCGTTCCACATCCTCATAACACTTTGTGTAAAGAAGTGATTTTTTCATTCTCTGTCCTTAATTAAGTCCCTTTTAGTTTCTGTGACCATGTGCCTTTGTTTCACGACTGATTGTGAAATAGTCCCCAGGGTCAATCCAATCTATAAATTCCTTAGGAATGTATATACTTCAATCAAATCTTTCTCCATCTCCATTGTTCTTTGCTGAAGAGATGTTGCTCCCTTAACCTGTCTGTATCTAACAATCCCGAGACAGGTAATCATTCTTGTTGCTTTTCCTTAAATGCTTTCCAAGGTTGTAATATGGCTTTTAGTGGTATGGTGACTAAAACTAAGCACAATATTCTAAATGAGGTCTTACTAGTGCATTATGAAACTTGAATATAACCACGCTGGATTTAAAACCTACAATTTGTGTTCTATTCCAAAACATTATATTTGGTTTTTTCTTTCCCCCATTGTACTGATGAGCAAATAGAATAATATACATAATCACCCAGTTCACTTTCCTGTGTAGCTTTCTACAGCTCAGAATCACTTATATGACGTATGTTTCCACTAAAATTGTGAGTGATTGTACACTTAACAAAGTTAAATTTAATTTGCTGCCTGCCCACTCCAGCTTTAAATATTTCTTTCTATGTATCTGCCCATTCCTGTTGTTGTCTTTCTTGCTCAAAGAAATGTAGGAAATTAAACATTCCCTTTCTAAATCCATGTTGGTCATATCTTAAAATGCCATTTCCTTTAGAAGCATTCTTGTAATTTAGCTCTATCATTTCTAAAACATTACCTCTAAAATAAGTAAGGCTGTCAAGTCTATACAGTATTTCCAAATAGTGATCTAGAGGCTCATAAGTATACTAATAAGTTGGTAAATTGGTCTCGTCTCCAATTATGAAGTCTATTTTTTTCCTGCATTGTGTATTTTCATCATTATTTAACTTTACGTTTCTCTCATCTAGATGCTAGATTGCTTACAGTCGGTCACAGAATCCAATCAAGACACACTGCATTAAGGCCCAAAATTTAAAATATGAGGAATTGATTCATTTTTTATATTTTCATTATAATGAATAAATCGCAGAGCTCAAAAACAAATTCTCACAGGCTTTATTTAGTCAGCTTAGCTGCAGCAGAGAAATGACCCCCACGGATCTTGTTAATGTGTCCTTTGGATATGATTTCTTAATATTCTGTGCAAGGATGTAAATATTACAACTGTTAAATGCACCCAGATTTGGATTAAATCCATCATTTCATCACAAACACCATGGTTGGTGGTATTTCTTAGCAAAGCACAGCTGTAGCCTTTTGTTTCTTACTGCCAGTGTTTGTCATGCAGACGATGGCCTGCAGAGCTATCCCCAGCTCATCAGTGATTTTCCAATTATAGCACCACTACTTCAGTTGTCTTTTCAAACACAAAACAGGATGAGCTCTGATGTCAAAGAAAATTCATGAACTCCATTCAAATCTGCATTTAGCAGAACAAATATGTTTAATTTTCAAAACTGCAATCCACTCAGGGCCCTATTAGTGAGCCAAACCAAATTGGCACAGGGGTTGTTCGAGACAAAATCTTAAACACCAACTTCAAAGTCACTTAGAAGGGAAAATCATCACTATAAATGTTGTGGCATATTTCACATGGTGAATCAATGTTTTCTTCAAAACAAATGCTTTCTAATTATCATACTCTGACAAAGTAGCTTATCATGGCAAGTAACAGAAGCTGAAGCCAGGTTTTTAGGAAGGACAATCGTGTTCCTGTAAATGAACACAATCCAAGGCTTTTCCTCCAGCATCAGACCCTTAATTCATAATTACTGCCCTAGAAGTACTGAAAATGCTTGTTAGTGACGAAATGCAATCCAGTTGAATTTTCTGCC